TGATAAGAAGAGAGGGCATATGCATAATAAGAACACCCACATTTGCAGATAATGCCCACTTGACCTGGCTTCAATGACTGGATGATCAGAGCTCAACTAGAAGAAGAAAGAAGAGGGGAAAAAAGAGTAATCTGATACAATTTGATGAACTTGACCTACACCTACGGATGCAGTAGCTCAAAAGAGGGAACAAATCTTTACAGCGAGGATCATTCCCACCCCCTCCAGACACAGAGTAGACAGGGATTGGCAACTTGGACATTGGCTATCCAAAATGGGGGGCTACAAAGGCAAGAAGTGACTGGATTAAAAGCTTTCAAGAGGGAGCCTAGATCTAGAGGGAGTGAAGGAAGACAGAATCTCCACTGAGTAGTATCGAATCTGTCTAGGTGGGGCTGATGAAAGGAGATGGGGATAGGTCTCTTGTGGTACAATCGTGAATAATTATTATCAGGATTGACTATGAGGGTTGGATATGTAAAGGTAGACATTTTGTAGCAAGGAGGGGAGTGACTGACTTTGCAGACTAGGAGCAAAGGTCCCTGGGACCATCAAGGGAGCAGACCGGAGAGTGGAACCCTATCCAGAGAAACAGTGATGCCAGAAATGGATGCAGAGATGACATGGAGAAATGGAGTGGCTGGGGACTCTAGACCCAGGGAGGGAGAGGGGCTGTGTGTTGACAACCGGGGGGAGGCTTGCAGGGTATACCGTTTGGTTGGTTGATGACGCATGGAGGGGATTGTAACCGTGGCAATGAAATGATATACGATAGGATGAATATAAAGTTAATGTTCTCCCATGTAAATTATCACATTGAGCCACAATAAAACATTTTAAAAAAACAAATATTTGTGGAATAATGGAATTAAAAGATAATGGAGTTCTTCCATGAGCTTTTTGAAGATTATCTTTCACTGTAGAATCTGATATCAGTAAGAGAAAATGCTCTCCCTAATATATTTGGAGTTCTGGTGGGGCATTATGGGTTCAAATTGACTTTGCACTGGACTGCAAAGTTGGTTTGAACTACAAGGTCGGCAGTTCAAGGTCACCACCAAGAATATAAGATATTTAGATGACATCAGGCTTATTCAGAGTGGTATGGCCATAGATAAACATAAGGAATTAGGATATATATCAGGGTGTGTGGGGTGGGAAATGGGGTCTGTAGCACCTGTCAGCTGAAATGCTACCTTTCAAGGTATTCAAACAGGCATATTACTATTGCTGGGATAAAGAGGTTTTGAATAAAAGACAGGCTCAGAAATAATGCTGAGTTTCATGGTTAAACCAACCGGTTGCTGTTGACTTGATCCAAGTCATGGCATCGTCATGTGTTGCAGAGTAGAATATACTCCATACAGTTTTCGTGGTGTGACTGTTTAGAAGAAGATTATTTAGGGCTTTTGTCAAAGGCAATTCAGGGTTGGTTCCAATTGCCAACTTTTCAGTTGGCAGTTGAGTGCTTAACTGCTTAAGTCACCAGGGATTCCATGTTGCGTTATTACATATTTACAAAAGTGAATTAAAAAAACACAAAACGACAAAAAAACAGTTGTCCCCTGACATTTTCCATACAGAATTAAGAACTTCAGTTGAACACAAGAGGCAAACTGCAAGATAGGTAGTATTAAGTTCTCTACAATAATTTTAACAGTGGTTACATTTATAGTCGTACCAGACACTAAGTGCTGCCAAATCCAAAAAACACCAAACCCACTGACTGCCAGTGAGTTGTTTCTACTTACAGCCAACCTTACAGGGTAGAGTGGAACTGCTCCCTAGGGTTTCCGAGGCTATGGGGCTTATGGAAGCAGACAGTCTCGTCTTTCTCTCATGGAGCAGCTGGTGGAGTCCAACAGCCCCCCCCCACTGAACCCACTCTACCACTAGGACTGTTTACAAAGGGCTTCATGTGTATAGATTCATTGACTCCTCAAACTACTCTATGGACACCATAACCCCCGAATTCTGAATCAGGTGAGAGACTCAGAGAGGTGGAGTAACCTGTCCAAGATCACCCAGAGTGTGCGTGGCTGAATCAGAATTCAGATCTCAGCTATCTGGCACCAGAATCCCTGCCCCTGACCCACTATGCCACACAGCCTCTGCAGACTCCATCAAGAAGCAGGAAGAGGAAGTTAATATAGAAAGAGAATGTAAGAATGACCCAGAGTACAGCTGAAGAGAGGAAACAAAACACAGACGTGAAACCAAACTAATAACCAACCCTCTCCACCAGGTCCCCAGTGTTTGTTTTCTAATTTTATCATAGGCAGAAATACACGGAATCAAAAAGCTATGAGGCTGTTTCAAAGTAGATGAAGGTAATATCTAACATAAATGCAATGAATAGGTCCTAGAATTTTGAAATTTGCTAATAATCTTAGACTGCTGTTGTTCTGATAACAAAATCTCAGTCTAACTAGTGAAATCCATTTTCATAATTTGTCATCCTAGAATGAGTTTTCAGTCTCTTGGACACTCAAGGTCTAAATGAAAAATAAATTTGATTGTAGAACTATCCAATGTTCATGGTATATAGCAATAATGACACAATTATACGTTTCTATTGCTCCAGTTTATGGTTTTTCATACATGCTCTTCCCCCTACCTTCTCGCCCAAATTCAATAAATCATCTGCATAGGGTGTTAAGCTTTGTACCCCATGCCTCATTTAGGAAGAAGCTGGCCCTTTGGGGCAACCAACGGCTATCAGAATGTATTGGTTTTATAAGCACCACAATGAGGTTAGCATAGTAATGCCAGGCAGCAATGAAGGGCAACAGAATACAGTTCTGATGAGCCATACCTAGCTCCTTCTGTATGTTGTCAGGGACTCCTGTAATAGTCTTTCTCCTTTTGACTTTCTTCGGTCGTCTTACCAGAGTGTCTGTGTAAATTAGAGACCGCCGAAGGCTGGCCTGCCGATCAAAATTCTCCCCTAATGTAGAGTAGTGGAACAAGCAAAGCAATGTTACTTTCAAGCAAGCTGACACCATGCAATTTCTTCCAGAAGCTTGTTGTAAAATAATAAGAAGGTATTAATAATGAGGTTAGACAGTCAAATGATGATGGATGTTGAAGGGCAAAAAAGGGAAAGAACACACATTCGCATCATAAGGCTGTTTTCCAATTTCTGACTGTGTCCTTCCAAAGACAGCATCGTCATTTCATATGACTCAGAGCAGCAAGTGCAAATTTGTTAATAACACACTGGAAGAGTGAGGCGATGCTATTTTAAAAATGGATGACCGCGGCAGTGCTGTGCATAGTGCCTTAGGTCACTGAAGACCTCTTTGTATCAGTGCATATATGGTGATGATAGTGAATATATTCGATTCATGCCATTCTACAAAGAACAACATAATAACTTGTTCTATGTAATGAAACAAGTATCTTAATCAAGAGTTCTGGGATGAGGTGCTTTTTCTGTTAAATCAATAAGGTTAACAATTGGGATAAAGTGTGGTGAATTTTGAAGGATGGACACCATCTATCATGAAAAAAAGCCTTATAATGCAAAGTACTCTTATCACAATGAGACCAGTAGCACTGCTGCTGTTAAAGCTGGACTGTTTCTTGAAGGGGCTTCAAAATCCCTCTTTTGTATTTGATCTGGAATCAGACATTTCATGGAAGGGTGCACTCAAATCCAGAATGCCACGTCCACATGATTTTTTTTCCTTTTTGGTGTAGAAGCGTGCATAATTAACACACCACAAGGAAACATAAACTAAGTTTGCAACAATCTCAATTCTTGATGTGCATTAAATTACTTGCCAATTTAATTAAAGTTTTGTAGTGCTGACCACTTAAGTGGTCAGATTACTCTCTTCAAAAGACAGATCTTTACGTCTATGTCTGTGTGTATTTATATCTATAAAGATATATGCACACACACAATTTACATATTTCTGTCACTCTTCTTCGCAATGTTAACACATATTCAAAGTGGGTATATTGTGAACAATGCAGCTTCTATTTTAATAGGAAGAAGTTGTAAATAGAACCTGATCCGAGCAAAACAGAGGATAAAAGACCTTAAAGATTACACATTTTAAAGTATAATCTTTTAAAAAAAAAACACTTGTAAACTTAAAAACGTTTATGAATTTGTCATTAATGGAGAAAAGTTGAAATCAGAGAAGACTCTGAACATCACCTTGATAAATGGGCCACTATGAACAATAGCATAAATAACACATGTTAGGGGCAAGTTATGACTTCAAAAGTCCATTAGTTGTCTATACTAAAGGAAAATAGATTCCTTCAGTCAGTGATAATTAAGAATGGGAAAAAAAAAAACCCACATTAATAAGAAGTTACATTTACTCTCCAGCTTTGGCTCCTAAACAAAAACAAAAGATAAAGCCACCCAAGTTCCAAGGAAATAGGAAGCGAACTGCAAGATGAACAGCTAAGACGACACACACCACTAAAGGGACCAAACTGTCCTTCTTCCTTTGTAACCTAGAAAGTGCGTCTTCCCCGGTGGATTATACATTTCTTGAAGAAAAAGACCATGATTCATGCATCAGTATCCATGATGGTTTTTAGCTCAATGCCTGGCACAATTAATTACTTAGCAATATCCACTGGTGTGATGCTGTAGGATCAACACTGAACTGCAAACCACAAGCTTGGCAGTTCAAGCCCAGCAGCTGCTCCTTGGAAATGCTATACAGGGTCACTATGAGCTGGAACCAACTTCATGGCATTTAACAACAACAACAACAATATCTGCTAACTTGAAAGGAAGTAAATCATTCCATTCCACTACAGAATGACATCACTAGTCACGGTTACTATTTATAAGCTAGCTAGCTCCAAGATCAGTACAAAGTCAGTTTGTGAAAACTGTTATAGTTATGTTTAACTACTAATTATTATTTTTCAGTTGGAAAACGTATTACTCTATATGGCAAATTAGGAAGCATACTTGCATGCATATACATTTTACTTTATACAATGCTTTCTCCTCAAATCTTAGAACACGGTGACTCTCTGCAGGACTGTAACAAAAGGGGTTATGCAGCTCACTGCATTAATGTTCTATCTATCTTTATGCCTGGTGGGCTTCACTCTGGCTTTGAAATAATACATTTATTGGCATTTTTTCCTGCTGAACCTTACTGGATATGAAACTACAACATCAATGCTCACCCAAATAAATGAGCGCAGGACAACTCCCTGCAGGAAGCTACATTTCTATTTCAAAACTCCTTTGAGCTTCACAGATGTGGAAAGAGCATGAAGCTGTATAACCTACGTCAGTTCAACTACGCAAACAGATTTTTTTATAGTTAATGTTTCTTTATACTAGAATATTAGAAAGATGAATCCCCTTAACAAGTAAGTGTGTGTGTGTGTGCATGTATATATACACACAGAAATCCAGAAAATGGATCAATAGACACACAATTAGCTGATATTTAATTCCTACATTTCTGCAAAATGTTAATAACACAAAAGTAAATTGCATTTTGACGTAATGCAGATAGCTTATTTCTTTATTCTCATTCACTTTCGCTGTACAGCATTGTAAAGGCCTCCTTTAAACTCTACATAATTGCTTTTAGTGTGTATCTACCTGTTCCATGAAATTCATCAAACAGGAGAGAATTAAAGCTCCAAGAAATAAGACCACACTGTGTTGTGGTCATATATCTCACTGCTAATAAACCTTTATCCTTGAAACTCTAGTTACTCTGCTGCTTTCAATTTCCTAATCTCATGCGGATGCATTTTATCCTAACTCCATTAAGGATGATCACATTTCATAGCAGAGCTTTCTTATCTTGTAATATTATTGCTGAAGCATTTAATCATACGTAATGTAATTATACTTCTGTATTTAATAAATCAAATAATATAATTAATGTTCTCACAGGAAATACATGTCCATAGATTGAATATAGCAATAAAATTATACTCTGTTCCATAACATAGCTACAAAATAGCTGTCATCTTTAGAATTTGATTAAGTATAGGAAAACACATTTAGGAAGCGCAATAATGTTATTTGTAAAAACAAAATGGATTGAAATGCAATGCCATTCTTAAAGGCTTAAGAAAAACTAATGTGGAAAATGTGCATGGAATTTAAAATAATTTATGTGCTTATTTATGAAGATTTCTATGAAAATTCACAATAGAGCTCTAAATGTAATTTTAAAAATACCCTATAAAGTGTTCAGAAATCTTCAGTAACTATTAAAATGCTGTTCGCCTCTTACGAGCTCATCAATGCCATGAGAAACAGCTCTCTATCAGCAATCACCAGCAGTACTCTTAGAAGAGCATTAAGAACACTGCAGGTTTTCATCCTTATTTTTGACGACAACTTGCCCTTACTGGTTTACTGGTAATTTTAGGTGCTGATATCAGTCCTTACTGGTTTGCTGATATTTTGAGGTTCTCAAATATGACTATTAGTAATCAACATCTCTTGAAAGCTATGGGAATGCAATCTCTATCTTTTGAAAGGCATTCTAATGGTTGAAGGTAACCACTCTTACCATGTCTATTTTGTACTTTGAACACGGCACACGTTGCTAGCACAGCTCCTTTGTGGGTTACAGAAGTGATAAAACAGCACAATTTTGCTCTCTTTTATCTTCTAAGTTTATAAAAGATCATCTTTGAGCTTTATGTACTTAATTTCAATACTTTCATTTCAAGTAATTGTTTCATTTTTCTACTTGAGAAGATAAAATCTATCATTTAGAAATATCACAAAACTACTAGTTATTATTTCTTCATTTCTATGACTATGACTTAAAATAACCCTCTAAAAGGAAAACATTTAATTTTTTCCAAAGATCAAATTCTGAAAATATTCATAGGCAATATATATATATATATTTTTTTATAAAAGCAAATTAATTTTTCTAAAGGCATACGTTGAGACAAACAGTTGAATCAGCAAGCTTTCTGACAACTACTTTTGACGATACAGTCTTATTCCACAAGTAATACACATAAGCAATATACATACTAGATGCACACACACACACATTTTAGTACTGCCTTCATTAATCAAAGGTCATGAAGCCAGACCACTGTTACTTACCGTATATGTATAACTGAAATGTTAAGAGCATATAACAAGCAAAAAGCCAGTCATACTTCCAACAACATTTTGACCTATTCTGAATAGAAAGCGTACCAGTTACATTAATAGGAACCACATCAGCCTGGACTATTTGGGCTTGCTGCCGCATCTTCTCTTCTGGTGTTGGCAGCGGAAGTGACTTGGTCCAGTTTGTGTGAGTACTGAGGTTGGAGAAATCGCTTGAGGTTGGTGTTTTAGTTCTTCTGATGGAAATATGCCTTTCTTCTTCTGATGAAGACATGGAACACTACAGGGAGAAAAAAGAAAGAAAAAGCCCACATTTGTAAATATCTGGTAGATACATTTAAAAGCACATAACTTTAAAAAAAAACAAAACAAAAACAAAGCTAATTTAAATCAAACCCGAATCACTCACTTTTAGAACCACAAGCAATGATTTGCAAGAAAGCTGTTCATCATCTTGAACATGGCCCAAAATATTTATGATTCATATTGGACCTAAACTCTAAATTAAGGGCTGGCAAAAGGCTTTGCTGATCTGCAAAATCTTCTCAGTTCATCCCGTTTTTCCTGTATTTACTGTGGTCAGAAAGTGTATGGATTTAGCTCAACATTAGAAGCCCTCAGAAATACCATGGCTGTGCCCATTACTTCTATTCTTATTAAAATTTCTAGCTTCAATCTTATTTCCTTTAGACTCTGACCCCGAGGGACACTTCTGAAATGAACTAGCTGTTGTTTGACTATTTGTGCTTTTCTGAAACCACTTATATGGGGGTGGGGAGGAATCGGTGTGAAATTGTTAAGTTATAAGACGCTGACTAAAGCTTTGTGCTGAGCCTTATCAGAATTCCATGGGAAAATTTCTAGCCGTGTCTGTTTTGATACAGACTAACATTCTAACTGAAGAACCCTTCTTCAATATCTTTCTTCCAATAACATCTTAAGAAGTGTAAGCCAGAAAGTTGTTGGAGCAAGCAGTTTATGATGGGCTTTCACCATGGCCTCACAGTAGCAGGTTCTGTTAACAAGGAAACTTCAGAACTCAAATGCAGCATGCTCAGGGAGAACACCAAAGGGTCATTGCCCTTGTGGGGAAACAATGGTATATAAATAAATGCACAATGTCTCATAACAGCTCTTTAAGTCTTAAGCATGTTTTGGTACCTTTCTGGATTTAGTGCATGGTTCTAAGAGGACATGCACAGGTAAGAAAACTTACAGAAGTTCAGAAAAGCACTGTCACTAAACTGTCTATATTTATGCTCTAAAAGAAATGCACAAATCTAAAAGGGACTATGCAAGAGCTAATGTCAATGGTCTGGTGTTAAGACCATACATGAAGGATAGAAAATTGAGTATATTAAACGCTACATTCATCAGTCGCGTGACCTTGCACTTGGCCCCTAATCTTGAAGTTCCCTTCACTGTAAATGGGGCTATTCTGCCTATTTTCTGCATCCCATAGGGTCACCGCTAGGCTCTAAAGAGATAATACACGTGAGAAGTGTCTGTTGTTGTTAAGTGCCATCTGGTCACTTCCAATCTGTATAGGGTTTCTGAGGTTGTAAATGATTACAGGATCAGAATGCCCCATCTTTCTTCCTAGGAGCAACTGGTGGGCTCAAACTGCTGACCTTGTGGCTCGTAAGTCCAATGCATATCCTACAGAGCTATCAGATGCCCATGGAAAATGCTTATAACTGTTAAATATCATGGACTCAAAAGTGGTGGTTATAGCCTGGAGTGGCCAGAAGTACAGAAGATATGTCCTGAAAGAAAGACCGACAGGAAAAATACAAAACAACATAGGCAGGCCAACTGAATACTACAAGAACAAGCAAGTAGCTTGCCCAGGAGATATCAAGGCAAGTGGTCGGGTCCCTCTCAGGACAAACCTCCTTCTAAGACTAAGGCTCAATGGGAATGCATGCTCTGATTCGTGATCACCACGTTCATCACTGATAAGGGGAAGTGAGGGAAAAACAGCAAGGAAGCTGTGAGTTATGCCCTACAACACTCAATAGACTCCAGCGAACCCAGATGGAGACCTGGTTGGCTAGCAGTGTGCTAAGTCCACGGGACTCTTGGACCCAGAGTCAGCGACATAGCCACAGAGGACTAGAGTGGGGAGTGAAGGGTCCAGCTGATAAGAAGAGAGGGCACATGCCCTTTTGGTTGGCAGCTGAGTGCTTTAACCACTGCACCACAAGGACTCCTTAGAATTCGATACATCAGAGTCAAAAACATTATGCATCAGCACCCTAGCTCTGTCATCTGTTCATGGTATATTTTAAGCAACTCACTCAATATCTATGTTGAAAATGACTTGTACAGTCATCAGCATGCTTCATGCTCTTGGAATCCCTGAATAAAGGCTGAAATATACATTGTGTGTGTGTTTCTTTAAGAACTGAATTTTAAATCTACTTTATTCCCGAACTTGAGACCTGTTCATTGGTCAGTAATGTTCACCAATCCCCACACCTTAATCCTAGAAGAACTGGAGAGTCACAAATGAAATTTAAGGGGTGACCATTCTTCCTGTCTCATTGCTTAATTTATAAAGGAAGGTTACTCTTCTATTCTTCAGCGATTGTGTTGTGGATTATGGATGCATTTTGGGACATTCAGTGTGGTTTGGAAACCAGATACACTGTCACCAGGTGGCCAGTGGGGTTCTGAGATATGAGTCCTTGTCTCAACAGCCAAGCTTCCCAGTAGTGGGATTAACAATAGTGAAACACAAATTACCTCAGGGGTTTTTGGGTGTGTGTGTGTGTGTGTGTGTGTGTGTGTTTCAGTTTGCTTCTTATACTAAAAAGATAACATTAAAAAAAGAAATTATTATATCAAACACTCACACCCTCAACTGAATAGTGATATTTGTATCAAAATAGTGAAAATATTTAGAATGTGAGTGCTTAAACTGATATTAGTATTTTCTTTTTAAAATTATCTTATTTTAAGAAATAAAATAACATAATCTTACCAATATTGGAGAGCTCACTAGTTAAGTCATGGCTGGAAATGCTGCAATCAAACTCCCTGGTCCCATGCCAGCTCCTCAGTTCCTCTCAGAGGTAAACGCTGTCCCTGACCTGAATTTTATGCAAATCATTCTTTACCTTTCCTTTTATGTGTTTGTGTATATGTATAAATATTCTTAAGCACATGCTTTGGCCTTTTAAATAATGGCATCATGCTCTTTTTAGTGCTGTTCATTTACCATTATATTTCTAAGACACATCTATGCTATAAAATTGAATGAATGTACAGTCAGCACTGGACTGACAACCACAAGGTCCATGGTCCAAGCCCACCAGCTTCTCTGCAGGAAAAGCTGAAGCATTCTACTCCTGCAAAGATGTACAGCCCCGAAAACCCTACACAGGGTCACTATGAGTCAGAACTGACTCAACAGCACACAACAACATAATTCATTAATTTCACTGAGATGTAACATCCATTCTAATAACCCACATGGCATGTCAAATAGCTTTCATACAGTCTTTCTAGCCGTGGTCTGTGAGTCTCACAAACTGATTAGCTGAACCTCTGCAAATTGAGTGACTTATGATCCAAGGATGGGACTGGTCAATTTACTATGTAAATTAATTGACTCTGACCTACTGAGGGGATTGGTCAGTTTATGGTCCTAGTGGGAGGGTCATGCCTTGAAATTGACAAGGAGCAGGCTTACACATAAGGAACTCTGGTAGCATAATGGTCATGAGTCAGGCTGCTAACCTCAAGGTCAGCAGTTCAAAACTACCAGTCATTCTATGGGACAAAGATGAGCTTTCTGCTCCCATAAAGATTTACAGTCCTGGAAACCCTATGCAGGGTCACTCTGAATTGGAACCAATTCCACGACGCATAACTACCTACCACCATAACCACCAGGTTTGTACATAGATTAGTATGGATTACACCTCAACATAACAAAAACAAAAATCTTCACAACTGGCCAATAAGAAACATCATGATAAAAACCAAGCCAAACCCATTGCCACTGAGTCTATTCTAATTCATAGCAACCCTACAGAGCAGAGTCAAATGGCTCTATCATGTTTTCTAAGGCTATACATCTTTACAGAAGCAGATGGTCATATCTTTGCTCCAATAGAGCAGCTGTTGGGTTTGGAAAACCATGGAATCACCACCAGAGATCTTTAACATGATAACCAGAGAAAATACTGAAGTCCATGTTTGCATTTTACTCGGATTCACAATCAATGTCTATGGATCTAGCAGCCAACAAATCAAATGATATACTGACTGGGCAAATCTTCTGCAAAAGACCACTTTAAAGTATTAAAGACTAAACATGTCACTTTGAGGACTACAGTGTGTCCTAACGCAGGTCATGGTATTGTCAATGACCTCATAAGCTAGGCAATGGATAAGATCGAAAAACTAATGCATTTGAATTATGATGATGGTGAAGAATATTGATGATGCCATCAACTACCACAACCAAATAAATCTGTCTTGGAAAAAGTACAGTTCCTTACAAGCAAGAATGGAGAGAGACTTCATCTTGTGTACTTTGGACTTATATCAGGAGATGATTAGGCTTGGTAAAACAGAGTGTCTGTAAAAGAGAGGAAGAGCCGCAACAAGATGGACTGACACAGTGGTTGCAACAAAAGGTTCAAACACCACAATACTTGTAAGGATGACAGAGGACTGGGCACTGTTTGGTTCTGCTGTACTTGGGATTGTTGTCACTGTTAAAAGCCATTGAGTCAATACCGACTCATAGCGACTCTGTATAGGGTTTCCACAGAGTGGATGGTGAGTTTGAAATGTCAAGACAGACTCAGTGTAAGCTACCAACAAGTGTTTTTTCTTTAGAGAATCTGTTGTTATTGTTTTCTGTTTTCTTTCTACAAGTAATAATGGTTTTCACTTTGCCAACACTGCAAGTGTCTTCATGTGTCAGGCTGGATCACAGACGAATGTCATATTCATAGAATGTTCTAGGTTTCATTCCTAGCTGTCTTATAGCTGGAAGTGTGAGCCACAGGCTGTGTGTTTGTGCAACACAGACGGACAGATATTTACATAAAACCCTTATTCATTCCTGGATTAATGGACAACTGGCAAGTAAAAGATGCTCTTTGTAATACCCCATCAATTCAATATAAGAGAGTGATTAGGAAGACAAGACTACAGCAAAGGTTCTATTCCCCTATGTACTTATTTGTTGCAGGGAAAACATGGGCTTCAGAGTCATATCTGGATTTAAATCCTACTTATAGCTCTGGTAGAGTAGTGGTT